CCTCTGCCTCAGGCCTCCTTCTCTCCCGCAGGATGAAGAGCGCGTGGCGTCCCCTCCCCGCACCATGGAGCCCTTCCCAGCGCTGACCTTCCGTAGCCACAGGAACTCTCAAAAAGACCTTTTCATATGCACTGTATAGCAGGAACTCTGCTTTTTTTCCTTCCCCCCCATCTCCGGCTTATTTAGTTTATTTAATTTTATAACGTTATTTATTATAGCCTTTGCATACCTCATATTTTGTTTACATATCCGAGTCACGAGTGTATCTGGGAACCACTAAAGGTAGGACCATGGAGGTGACCGCCGTTGCGCCCACAGCTGCGGGCGAGCTGCTACTGAGCACCGTGGAGACCCTGCTCCCGGCCCCCATGACGAGCTTCCTCTGGATGTTGATCCTGGGCTTTGTCATCGCCTTTATCCTGGCCTTCTCCGTGGGCGCCAACGATGTGGCGAACTCCTTCGGCACGGCGGTGGGCTCGGGCGTAGTGACGCTGCGGCAGGCGTGCATCTTGGCGAGCATCTTTGAGACGGTGGGCTCCGTCCTGCTGGGAGCCAAGGTGAGCGAGACCATCCGCAAGGGGCTCATCGATGTGGAGATGTACAACTCGACGCAGGAGCTAATGGCTGGCTCCATCAGTGCCATGTTTGGTGAGGAACTGGGGCACCAAGGAGATGGGCTGGGGTTCCGTGCGGTGGCAGCCGCTCTCTTACCAGGCTCTTTCTTCTCCTTCAGGATCGGCTGTGTGGCAGCTAGTGGCTTCGTTCTTGAAGCTTCCCATTTCTGGTACCCATTGCATCGTTGGGGCAACAATCGGCTTCTCGCTGGTGGCCAAAGGGCAGGAAGGTGTCAAGTGGTCAGAGCTGCTTAAAATTGGTAAGTCCAACTTTCCGAAGGCTTTGGGAGCAGCACAAGCACGTGAGCGCGACACCCACTGTGTCCATACCAGCCCAGGGCTTCCCCTTGCTGCTGCGGGGTACTAATCACACCTCTTCTCTCCTAGTGTTGTCCTGGTTCATCTCACCCCTCCTTTCTGGCATCATGTCTGCTATCCTGTTCTTCCTTGTCCGTAGGTTCATCCTTTGTAAGGTAAGGATGCACTAGCTGTGGGCTGCGTGTTCTGGCGGCTTGGGGCTCCCAAGTGCTGTCCTTGTAGGACCCATGCAAACTTCTCTGGCAGCTCGTGCCTCCTATGATGCTGCTGGCTCCTCATCCAGGAGGAACTGACAGAAAGGGAAAACTAGAAGTGTAGAATTTTCCACTAAATGGAGCCTAGGAAATGAGGAGCTTTGACTTCCCCCAGAACATCTGGGCTGGTCAGCTCCTGCCTGGCCTAAACTGACACAGTTAGAGCTTCCAAGCAGTGAAGCAGCTCAGAAGTGAGAAGATCAGAGCTGCTGGCCATGCCTTTGTGTGGCTGTTTAACTGGTGAGAGGCTGGACCTTTTGTCATGCTGCACAAAAAGGCAATTATTGACAGCAAGGGCTTAAAAACGGGAAGTCTGGGGCTGTCCATGGCACTGTGGAAACTGTGTGTGCTCCACCAGGAGCAGCCCATGTCCCCAGGCTCTTCTGCATCAGGTCCTTCCTGATGGCTAAGATTTTTAGTGCAGGCTTTGCTGTTTTTAAGCCTTAGAAGCGTGAAGGCTTCAAGCGCATTTGTGGATGCTGCTAGTCACTGTGCAAGTGCCAGGTAGTCTTGGTCTAATGTAAATTATCTGCTTTAGCCTTAACATACAGATGTGCTGCTTGCTCTACGCAGAAGCAGAGTTCCCGCCGCAAACCGATTCTGCTCGCGGCTCTAGTGCTGCTCGCATGGCTGCAGGAGCAGTTTTGGGATGGGTCACCCTAAGGAACGAGGCCAAGATAACGTGATGCTTCCCTGTAGGTCACACTATGTGATTCCTCTTGTCCGTGGAGCTGTCCATCTGGGTCCAAGATGAATTTGAGTCTCCTAAAAGAAAAATATCCCCTGCTGAAAATGCTGGGCAGCAGCAGCTGCTTCCTGCACAGCTTCTGAGGCTCCAAATGAATCCGAATCTCTCTGGCTGGGCTCATTTCCCCTGTTTGGAGGGCCCAAAAGCCTAGAGGTGGTACCAAGCACCTGAAACACTCCACGTGGAGGTGGCAGTTCTAGATGTTCATGCTCTGAAGTGATGAACCTGGAACACACTGATGCTGCTGGCCCCGGGTTTTCAGTCAGCTGCCCAGAGGACTGAACTTTGGCATCTCTGCATAATCAGTTTGCTCTGCACATTTGAGGTTAATGACTTAAATTATTTGGGGTCTCAGGTCTATGTGTGCTTTAAGAGATGTTGAGATCTTATCGTTGTTGCTGCTACCTGGCAGCCTTTTTGAAGCGAGCTGGCGTCACTGCTGTCAGGAGTAACCTTGCATAACTGGCCTTTGGGAGCTGCCACTTAACGTGTCCCATTGTCAAGCGATTCTGGCAGCAGCCCCGCAGTTGCTCCGTCCTGCCCAGTGTTTGGGAACGCTCGGTGTGTTTGTATCAACACTGAGCCCAGAATGCTGGGCAGCAACTGAGATTGAGGGCCTCTGTGTGCAGGCATGTGGCTGAATAAGCTGCTCATGTGAGTAATGGACTTCTTTAATTTAGCCCAAGTCAGCTGCAAGGAGGTGAAAATGCTCTGACAAATGGTTTCATGTGAAAGCAACCCATGTTTCTTAAAAATAAATAAATAAACCCACAAAAGTACAGCTGAACGCCTGGGAGTTGTGCAGATTGAATAGTCTTAGGAAAGCAAATCCTGGGCTTTTGAGGAGCCAGGATTCTGCTGCCTCCTGGCGCAGAAGAGCAGAGGAGCCTGCAGGGAGCAGCCCGCTCCATGTGTGGGATCTTGGCTCGCTGGTGGCCCGAGGCTTCCTGGGCTCTCAGTGTGTTTTGAGGCACCTGCTTCTGCCCCAGAGGTGCCCAGGCAGCACCAAGGTGCTCTCTGGTGCTGTCCCCTCTTTGGGCAGGGGGGTGACCTGTTTCCCCAGCTCTTTCCAAAGCGGGAATGAATCTCCCAAGGGAAACAGCTCTTCTGACTCCTCTCATGGGTTGTTTTCTAATATAGGAAGTAGTGGAAAAGCTCCTTGGAGCCTTCTGGGCCTCTCCTAGAGCTGCTGCATGGTCCTTAAAACAGCTTGTGGAGAACTGCGGTGTCTGAGGTTGGGATTTTTACAGCTTTGGATATTGTTTTGCAGGCAGATCCTGTTCCCAATGGCTTGCGAGCTTTGCCTGTCTTCTATGCCTGCACTGTGGGGATCAACCTCTTCTCCATCATGTATACCGGGGCACCCTGTGAGTACCTGCCAGAATACCTATGCCTGAATTGTAAAATCCTTTACAAAACCTCCATTAAATGCACGATTTACCCCTTTTTGCTTTACAGGGCTGAAATCTCCTAGAAGGCGGCCGGCCTGGGCCGGTTACAGAAGGCTGCAGGCTAGCGTGCGCTGAGCTCTAAATCTAGCTAGTTGCCCACCCAAAGAGGCCTGCTCAGACTAAACCCCCCCCAGACCTTTCTCCTTAGACCTCCCAGGACTTGCAGTTAACGTGACTTCCCCTCCCTTTTCTTACCTGTGCTAAAACTCAGGCCCCCAGCTGCTCCCAAAGATTCTTTAGACTCTCTCTTTTTTTTTTTTTTTTTCCCTCCAGTAGTGAGGCTAGGAGCAGGGCTGGAGTCGGGCACAGGAATTTTGTGGCCTTGTGATTCACCTAGTCCCTAAGAATAAACTAATTATCCCTGAGACTTCCTGGCGGGGAGAGTTGGCGTCCTGCAGCCGTGCTGAGGAGCTGATGCTTCAGTTGGAAGTGTTTTTGGGAACGTCAAATTGGAGTGTGTGCTTGGCTGCTGTGGAGAGGGCCAGGGCAGGAGTCGGGAAGTGCTGTGCTCTTGTCGGGGTGGCACGAGGGTGGCTCTGCCTAATGAGCAGGAGAGCCACAGAGTCGGGCAGCAAGCGGCTGCAAAAAAATGAAATTTCCAGCAGTCAGGGCAGCTCAGCGTGAGTTGTTTTCAGTCTGAGCGGGTTTCCTGTTGTGGAACAGTGAAAGAGGTCATTGGGAGCTGGAGGTGGAGTGACAACAGTTGATGTTGGCTTTTTGAGGGTTTTCTCTGTAAACAGAAAGCTTTCTGGAGGGATGTCAGCTTTCCTTGGGTCTCTGGCTTGCTCAGATGCATGCTCCAGCCTGGGAGCACCCCTGAGATGAGGGGGCACTGGGATCCTCCATCGGGGTGTTGAGCGGCTCCACGGCTCGTTTGAGGCAGAGCCATCGCTGCTTTATAAGTTTCCACCTCCTAGATAGATCCATATTTAACTTCATCCCTGAATTTATGGAAAAGCTCAGTGCTGCTCGCTGTGGGGCTTGTTGCCTGCAGCAGGGCAGGTTTGTTTGCAAGCAAATGGCAGCTTGCAGGTTAACGGGGCGCGTGAAGCGGCCGTGGCGCAGTTGCTGCTGCCGCAGGAGGAGCAGTAAGTTCTGGCTGCAGCAGAAAATGCAGGATTTGAGCCATGGCAGTATTTGATTTTTCCCTGCAGCAGCCAGGATAATGAAAAGCTGCTGCTAAAAGTCACACTGCGTGTGGGAATGCTTGTAAGTAGGTCACTTAACACCTTGGCTGCCTCCCCTGGGGAAGAGGCAGTTTGGGCTGAAGTTTCCAGTGACTTGCATGGCTGGAAAAAAAAATCTCCTTCCCAGAGCAGCTGGAAGAGTTAATGGAGACATCTGGCTATGCAGTGGGAGCAGCTGAGGTCCTGCGTGTTGCTGTCCCCTGCCTGCTCCCAGCCTGGCGTGCTGGGGACTAGCACTGTCTGCTGCAGCAGCTTTGCTCATTTTGTCCTTTTTTTTTTTTTTTCTTTGACATTGCAGCAAGGCAGGACACGAGGCTGCGTGCATATACGGTGGTGGCGACTCGGCCTGGGCGCGAGGGCTCCGCTTGCTCCCTCTCGCTAATCGGGTCTGGCTGTGGGAGGGAGGGAAAGTGTCTGAACACGTGAAAGAGATTAGCCTGTGATGGTGGGGCTTCTGTGTGTGGGTTTAGCTCTCAGTTTCTGTGTGGTCAGCGGTGGATTTTCCTGGTATTCCCAGCGTTTCTCCCCACCGTGGCGGGTAACATAGCTCAGGGAGCTGCAGGCGGTTGGAGGCTCTGTGCTGGGCACCGGTTCCTCAAGCTCAAGAGTAAAGTCATGTGTTGAGGGGGGCTGTTGCCCTGGGGTTTTCAAGATCCCTTGTTTTATTTCCTAGTGCTGGGCTTTGACAAACTTCCTCTCTGGGGTATCCTCCTAATTTCGGCGGGGAGTGCTGTTGTCTGTGCTCTCGTCGTCTGGTTCTTTGTATGTCCAAGAATGAAGAGGAAAATTGAAAGTAAGTAACCACTGAGTCTCTGCTGTTCTCTGGGGAAGGGCAGGGCTTTTGCTAACCAACTTCTTTTTTACAGGGGGGGAGGGAATCTCATTAGCCCCAGGGCTGTTATTAGAAGGGTCACTTAGCTCAAGTTAGCACTTAAGCTGCTCTGCCAACCCTGAGTCACTAGGTATTTTCTAATCAAGCTGTTGGACCCTTCATGCTTCCAACAGCAGCACCTGAGCGCAGCCTTTTTCCACCCTCCAATGTCCCCTCTGAGCAGCCGTCCTGCTGCTGCAGGGTTTCTGGCAGCCGAGTCCTGGCTGTGCAGGGTGATCTCTCCTTGACCTGGAAAAGGCACCGGGCAATAAATGCTGTTTCATAGCGAGCATCCACCCAGCGCAGGGCAGGTAGGAGGTAACATGCCTCTTAACCAGCATGCAGGATTAAAGGTTACATACCTGGTGATCAATCTTTGGCTTGGCAGATGCAGATCACAAGTTTAAAGCTGTGTAATCTTATGAAATCCTTGCCCTGGAGCTGAAATATCTATTGAAAGGCATCCAAAGCAGCAGTTCCAAGCCCTGGCTTCCTCGCGGAGCTCTCCTGGAGCAGTGTGTGGTCTTGCATATCAATTTGGTGTGCAGGCTGAGGCATTTAAAGGACTGGAGATGAGGGGATAACAAGTGTCCTTGTCCAGCTTGTGTAATTGGGGTGTGACTAACAGCTTTATGGCCACCCTTGAAACTTTTCCAATTGTTGGAGCTCTGCTCCTGCCTGCTGCCCCAGAGTGCAGGCTGCAGAGAGGTCACCACCAAACCCTGTGCGCTGCAGGACACCAGCTCCACTAGGAAGCTCTGCAGGGACTTTAGGGAAGAAGGGGTAGCTGAATCCTGCAGCCTGAGAGGCCCTGCAGTGCTTGAAGCAGCAGGGAAGCGCTCATGTCCCCAAGGTGGTTCTTGGGTGCTGGCTGACCTCATGTTTTCACCTGAAAGCAACAGGCTTCCTGCTAGAGGGGGTGGTAACTATCTCCGATTCCGGGATGGGGAAAATACTGGCTTGGCTCTTGCAAGGGGACAGGAAACCAGGCTGCCCTGTTTGGGTTCCTGAGCTCGCCCTGGGTGCTGGGCTGAGCTGTGGACGGAGGAGAGAAGATGGGATGTTTACCAGCCCCTCTCCTGTCACCTCCGGGAGTCATAACCACATGAGAAGCAGCTATTTGTGTCAGCCAGCTTGTGGCCACGCACTTCCCAGCGGCCGCTGGGAATGAGGATGTAGCCTTGTGTGCCCAGAGATAACCATAACTTGTGATTGGCAGAAGAGGAATCTCTGCCGTAGGAATAACAGGCAGCCCCCCCAGTGTTGTTCACCACACCCCGTGTGGGTGTGTGGGGCCTAAAAATAGCAGATGAGCTGGTGTAGGGCACCCTGGCCGTTGTGACAAGGTGGCACTACCATGCAGCAACAGGGAGGAGGGACAGTTAGTTTGCAGCTCCCTAATTCTGGACTTTGGCAATTTAGCTGCCATAAATCTGAGCTGCAAAAGGAGCTGGCCCGGTCCTGCTTCCCCTTTCCCTGGGATGGACACGGGCTCCGGGGCTTCGGTCACGGTGCTGGGAAGGGGTTTAATGGGAGCTGCCTCTGTTCCCAGGAGAGATTAAATCGAGTCCTTCGGAAAGTCCCCTGATGGAGAAGAACAGCAGCTTGAAGGAAGATCATGAGGAGCCCAAGGTGCCCTTGGGCAGCAGCGTGGGCGATGCCAAGAGCCCCGTGGCTGACACGGTGCCACCGCAGGCAGCCGTGGAGGAGAGAACGGTCTCCTTCAACCTGGGAGACCTGGAGGAGGCCCCGGAGCGCGAGAGGCTCCCCAGCCTTGACCTGAAGGAAACCAACATTGACAGTGGTGAGAGCGTGGGGATCCCGTGGTGCCCTTAGTCCTGGTTTTGATGCCCGTTCCTGCAAAACTGGTATTGCTGAGAGCTAAAAGCCCCTTTTTTTTCCAGGAGGAGCCGTGCAGCTGCCCAATGGCAACCTGGTGCAGTTCAACCAGGCCGTGAGCCACCACATCAACTCGAGCGGGCAGTACCAGTACCACACGGTGCACAAGGACTCGGGCCTCTACAAGGAGCTGCTGCACAAGCTGCACCTCGCCAAGATGGGCGACTGCATGGGCGACTCGGGGGACAAGCCGCTGCGGCGCAACAACAGCTACACCTCGTACACCATGGCCATCTGCGGCATGCCCCTGGACTCCTTCCGCGCCAGGGAGGGCGAGCCCAAGGGCGAGGACACGGAGAAGCTGACGTGGCCCGCGGCTGACACCAAGAAGAGGGTGCGCATGGACAGCTACACCAGCTACTGCAACGCCGTGGCCGACGCGCACCCAGCTGCCGACGTGGACCTGAACACGGCCCAGGTGGAGATGGGCATCAGCAACAGGAAGGGCAGCAGCAGCTCCCTGGAAGAGTGGTATGACCAGGACAAGCCAGAAGTGTCCCTGCTCTTCCAGTTCCTGCAGATCCTGACCGCCTGTTTTGGCTCTTTTGCTCATGGTGGCAACGATGTCAGGTGAGTCTGGGGGAGTTGGTGGCTTTGCTGACTCTGTTCGTGCAGAAATGAAGAACCCTAGAACTGTTCTCCTCCTTTGCAGCAATGCGATTGGCCCTCTGGTCGCCCTCTACCTCGTCTACCAGACGGGCGACGTGGCTACGAAGAGGCCGACTCCCATCTGGCTGCTGCTCTACGGAGGTGCCGGCATCTGCATCGGCTTGTGGGTCTGGGGAAGGAGAGTCATCCAGACCATGGGGAAGGACCTGACTCCCATCACGCCGTCGAGGTGAGGCCCAGCTGCAGGTGACCATTGGGTGGCTGCAGAACCCTCCCGTGCTTCAGGGAGAACTTCCAACACGCTGGGAATGGGGGTGATTGCGTTTCCAACGCATTGGAGCTGTTGGAATGTGCTGGAACTCCAATTAGAAATGGTTCCAGTGCATCGGAAACGCAACGAGTTGGAAACCCAAGTTGGAAGTGGTTGTTGGCTGGAGGAGCCAGGCTGTGCAGACACTGGGGACCCTGTGACGTCCCAGTGCGCAGAGCCCCCTTTCTCCTTGTGACCCTTTGGTGCGGGGAGCTGATCCCGCTGGTGCAGCATGTAGAGCAGGGGCATTTGGAGACCGGCCCCTCCGGTCTCTCTGCCCCACAGCGGCTTCAGCATCGAGCTGGCATCTGCCCTGACCGTGGTGATCGCCTCCAACGTGGGCCTCCCCATCAGCACGACCCACTGCAAGGTGAGCGGCGGCACCGCGCGGGGCCTCCAGCACTAACGAAGCGCCCAGAATAACAGAATAGGCCACCCTGGCCTTGGGTCCACAGTGGAGCGGGAGCCAAGAATCCCTGGAGAAAGGCCCTTGGGAAGGCACTTGGAACCCGGGCCAGGGCAGAACAGAGCGGCTTTGAGGGAGCCCACGCAGCTGTGCCGGGGGCCCGGGCTGCTCGGCCAGGGGAAGCTCTGCTTGGGGAAGCCTGTGCCGCATGGGGCACTTCCCGGGGCGCTTTCAGCTTGGGAATGGGGAGCCCGGAGCTGTGTGGGAGCGGGGCAATGCCGCGGGCTCATCCCCCTCTCCCACAGGTGGGCTCCGTGGTGTCCGTGGGCTGGCTGCGCTCCCGCAAGCCCGTCGACTGGCGCCTCTTCCGCAACATCTTCGTGGCCTGGTTCGTCACCGTGCCCATCTCGGGCCTCATCAGCGCTGCCCTCATGGCCCTCTTCAAGTTTGGCATCCTGGGCGCCTGAGGGGCCGCGCCGGGACCCCCCTCCGGGCGCCCGCAGCCCCCCGACTACTGTAGGTTTCCGGCCTCTCCTCCCCTCTGTCTAGTGCTGTCACAGAATGTCACAGAATTATCTTTTGAATTATCCTCTTTTTTTTTTTTTTCTTAAAAAAAAGACGACTTTGCTGCCTTCCCCGCCCCGCGAGGAGCCTGCGCTCACCCGCACCCTGGGGTGCGCCCGGGTGCTGCAAAGCTGTAGATTAGAGGGGGGGAGGCCACTTGTTACTTTCTAATTTAAACTCCTCTTAATGATGAAGATGCTCCTGCCGCGATTCCTCCTCGAGCGCAGCCTGGCGCTGGTTCCTGCTTCCCAGGCCTCTCCGTGTCCCGGCCGTTCCCGGGGCTGTCCCGGCTTCAGCTCTTGCCTCCATCGCCGCCGTGTGGCACCAGCGGAGCCGCCTCGGTGCCATCCCGCTCACGGGGTGTCATTTTGGGGTGGAGGGGCCGGGATCCCCCCTGTGTCACAGCCCTCGCTCGCTGCTGCTACCTCGGTAATAATAAAAACTTCCTTCTTACGGTAGCGCCTGCCTCTCTGGGGGCCCCGCGCGGGACGGGGCTGTGGGGGCCCATAGGGACCGATAAGGGGGGCACGTGCTGCGCCAGGGTCATGCGGTGTCCCCAGCCACGCGGGTTATCAGCGCGGCCCAGCCGGGACTGCTGCCCCCTTCCTGTCACTGCTGTCACTTGGCTGGCACCCGTGTGTGGGGTGCAGGTCTCGCTGTCCCCAAGGGGCCGGGGTGCCCCCAGCTCTGCGCTCCCTGTCCCCCCTGCCTTGGGAAGAGGCTCCAGGGACCCACGACCCTGCGGTGGCACCGGGTGATGCAAGAGCACCCGGCGCTGTGCCCGCCCTGGGGACATGGGACAGGGGGATGTGCCCTCCCCCCGGACACTGCCCCCAGGAGCTGCCACCCCCTCCCGAGGTGGCAATGGGATGTGTCCTGTCGTGTCCCCCTGCACCCCCCCCGCCTTGGGGACACGTGGCCCGTGGGGCGGTTCCCCCACGTGGGCCTGGGGACACGCGGGG